GTTGGTTGCTATCTAGTTTTTTAAAAACAGCTTTGCTGAGTTATAATTGACAAATGATAAACTGCATACAATATGTATAATTTGATAAATATATGCACATACCCCATGAAGCCATTACCATATTCAAGATAAAGAACAGACCCACAAGGCCAAATGTTTCCTCGTGCCCCTGCTTCCCAATATACCTCCTTCATCCCCAAGTAACCCCAAGTAACCACTAATCAGCTTTCTTGTCACTATAGATTAGTTTGCTTTTTCTGGAATATTTATAAATGTACTTTTTTTGTATATCTTCTTTTACTTAGTATAATTATTTTGAGATTCATTCACTTTGTTGAATGTAGCAATGGCTCATTCCATTGCTGGCAAGTATTCCATAAAAGAAAAAAAATCTTAAAGATTTTAAAAAAGAAAATCTTAAGAAATCTTTAAGATTTCTTGAGATTTTAGCTATAGGTGTCATATCTGGGAAATCTTTGCCAAGTCCAAGGTCACAAAGATTTTCTCCTATGTTTTCTCCTAGAAATTTTAGAATATTTGGTTTTACCTTTAGGCCTATGATTCATTTTGAGTTAATTTTTATATATGGTGTGAGGTATGGATTGAGTTCACTTTCTTACTTATAGCTATCTAACTGTTCTAGCATAATTTGTTGGAAAGACTATCCCTTTTCCACTGAATTGCCTTTGCATCTTTGATGAAAATCAATTGACCATACACATGTGGGTCTATTTTTGGACTCTATTGTCATGCATTAATCTATTTATTGATTTTTATAGTATCTTTTTTTTAATAGTAAAAAGAGTTAAAATGAACCTACTATTTGACAGCCCTATGAAAGAAAATGTGCATTTACTACTAATTTAATTTCCACATCAATCTTACGAGGTAGACAGTCCATCTTGCCTTTCCGATGAAGAAGCTGAGGCTCAGGGAGGTGAAGTCATCTGTGGCCACACAGTCACTGAATGACTTTAAGTCATAAGTTTATGACTTAAACCATGTCTGTCTAATTTCAAAGCCTGTGCTATTAACCACTTATGGCAAACAGAATAATGTCCCCTTAATATGTTCATGTCCTAATTCCTAAAACCTGTTGATACGGTTTCACTGTGTCTCCACCCAAATCATCTTGAATTGTAGCTCTGATAATTCCCATGTGTAGTGGAAAGGGCCCAATGGGAGATAATTGAATCATGGGGGTGGGTCTTTCCCATGGTGTTCTCATGATAGTGAATAAGTCTCAAGAGACCTGATGGTTTTTTAAAGGGAAGTTCCCCTGCACATGCTGTCTTGCCTGCTGCCATGTAAGACATGACTTTGCTCCTCATTCACCTTCCACCATGACTGTGAGGCCCCCCCGCCCCCAGCCATGTGGAACTGTGAGTCAATTAAACCTCTTTGTTAAAATAAATTACCCAGTATCAGGTATAGCTTTATTAGCAGCATGAGAACAGATTAATACACTTCTGTAGTGCTATCTTACATAAGAAAAGAGACTTGCAGATATAATTAAGGATCTTTACTTTTTGTTGTTTTTGTTTGTATGTTCTTTTTATTTTTTATTTTTTCCATTTTTTAAAACATTTATCCCAGATACTGAAGGTTAAGAATTTTGAGGTGGGGAGTTGGCTGGGCCTTTGAGGTTGGCCCAGTGTAATACCAAGGGGCCTTATAAGAGGGCAACAGGAGGATCAAAATCAAGGAAGGAGATGAGACAAGGGAAACAGAGGTCATAGAGAATCATTCAAAGATGCTATGCTGCTGGCTTTGAAGAGGAAAGAAGGGACCAGAAGTCAAATACAGTGGCCTCTAAAGGCTGAAAAAAGCAAGGAAACAGATTCACCCTCAGGGCCTCCAGAGATAATCAGCCATGCTGACACCTTGACATTAGCACAGTGAAAGTAATTTCAGACTCCTGATTTCTAGAACTGTTAAATAATAAATCTGTATTGTTTAAGCCACTAAGTTTGTGGCAATTTGTTACAGCAGCAATAGGCAACTCATATACCACTAACTCATATTTTAATTTGGGTAAATTATTTAACATTTGGGAGTCACAGCACCTTCCTGTCTATAATGGCCACAGTAATGTCTACTTTATAGAGCTAGGGTGATGAGAAGAGTGGGCCTGGCACAGAGTCATTGCTCCAGAAATATTAGCTATGTGTAAAAAATATATTTCTTCTTCAGAAACCTCTAGGCATTGCCCTGTTAGGCCCTTAGGATTAACAGTGGGTTTTTTTTTTTTTTTTTTTTTTTTTTTGAGACGGAATCTTGCTCTCTCACCCAGGCTGGAGTACAGTGGCATGATCTCGGATCACTGCAGCCTCTGACTCCTAGGTTCAAGCAATTCTCCTGCCTCAGCATTAGCTGGGATTACAGGTACTCACCACCATGCCCAGCTAATTTTTTGTATCTTTAGTAGAGATGGGGTTGCACTGTGTTGGCCAGGCTGGTCTTGAACTCCTGACTGTGTGATCTGCCCACCTCAGCCTCCCAAAGTGCTGGGATTACAGGTGTGAGCCACCACACCCAACTAGGACCAACAGCTTTTAATTTAGCTTATGGATACCTTGGTTCCTTCGTAGGAAAAGGGATTTCAGTTCTTGGAACATGACAGCCACTAGCCCTAAGTAACAGTTGGCAAGGTGAGAGCCCCACTGCAAGGAAGTCAGAGGGGTCCTAATGCTACCTGAGGGGGGTAGAGAGAGACTCAAGTAGAAGGGGATGCTAACTCAAAACTACACTTGTCTCACCATAATGTTCTGAGGTTGGTTTTTTCTTTCCCTTAAACAAACATATTCCTATTTTTCAGTTCATCTACTGTCAACAAATACATCTCAAACCATGCCCCTTTATCAGATTCACAGATTTTCTTACCAGTCAATTCATTTAGTCAAGAAATATTTACTGAGCACCCATTACGTGAAAAGCCTGGTGCTAGTGCTATGGTATCCAATCTGGACAGAAAGACAGATATTAAATAATGAAGTACACTCATAGTTGGAAATTGTGGGGTGGGCATGGTAGCTCACATCTGTAATTCCAGCACTTTGGAAGGCCAAGACAGGAGGACCCCTTGAGCCCAGGAGCTCAAGAACAGCTGGGCAACATAACAAGAACCCATCTCTACAAAAAAAGAAGAAAAAATAAAAAAATACAAATTGTGATACGTGCTATTTGGGAGAAAACAGGATGAGAGATGGAACTATGAAGGGTAGCTTTGGTGGTTTACTCAGACAGGAACAAGAGGAAACACAACTCCTTCACTCATTCATTTATTCATTAATGAGTTATAGTGCTGTTTGCCATGAGTTGGCCATGAGTTCAGTGTTAGGGAATCAACAATATACATTAAATAAGGAGTCTTTAAACAGAAATACATAAAACAAGGTTATGTATTGATTAGTTAATGAAAATATGACCAGAGGCTCACAGGAACCTAACCCTGTGTTTCCCCAGGAGCAACAGTTCAGTATTGGCTAGTTCAGCATTCAAAGGGACTATACAGAATTTCCATGAATGAGAATTGATTGTACTTTAACTTCAGAATTTTAAGTGCTAGGAAAGCAACTAAACAGGGTAATAGGTGACAGAGAGGTCAAGGAAGGTCTCTTGAGGAAGTGAGATAGTAGTTTAGATCTCAGTGATAAGAAAGTTACATAAAGGGAAGGTCTATCAGGAGCAGCAAAAGCAACAGCCCTGAGGCTGGAATAAATTTGGAACATTCTATGCTAAGCAAGGCTGGTGGACTGTAGGTTGGTGAAGAGGAGACGGAAACAAGGTCAGGACCACTTGAGCACAGGAGCCAGGACCACAGGAGCCAGGACCACTGTAAGGTGTGCCAGTGGCAAAGAAAGACCATAGGGGAGTTTAAGCAAAAAAGAGGAGTTTAAGCATTGTCAGGCTGCTTAATGGATTGAAGAATGAGCCAAATGGATTGAAGGAGGCTCAGTGGAAGCAGTGATACCAACTAGGAGGCTTAGGAACTAACCGAAGTGAGGAGTGCGGAGATTTGGACTAAGGTTGCAGGTAGGAAGATACTGCGAAGCAGATGGGTTTGAGATAGATTTTAAAAGAGGTGGAATTCCCACAAGTTGGGGTGGTTTGGGAGGGGTAGGGAGGTGTGGAGGGAGACAGAGAAAGAAATCAAAGATGACTCGCAAGTTTCACTAACTTAATAAATATTTATATGGCAGTGTATCTTGCCACAGGCACTTTGCTGGGTGCTGATAACAGAGCCACTTACAATAGCTGACATTCTCCCACTTTCTTCCCGCCTCCACACTCCACACCTTTGCCACCACCCTGGTCCAGGCCATCACCATCTTTCCCCTGGATTGCTGCAATAACTTCCTAACTATTCTCCCTGCTTCAGTCCTTGCTCCTGCAATTTGCTACACAGTAGCCAGGACAATCTTACCCTTTAAAAACATGTCAGATGGAGTCATTCTTTTCTTAAATACTGCCAATATTTCCCCATCCTATTTGGTTAAGAGATAAAATCTTTACAGTGGCCTGTGGGGCTTTTAGGTCTTCCTTGCCCCCCTCATTGTCTCCTTTCTGTTTCTTAAAGTGAAGTGTGTCATCTAAGTCAACTTTGAGAGGATCCCACTCCATCCCACCAAAAGTAGTTTTGTTAAAATAAGATTATTTAGCCTTTACATGGAGGAACAACATTAGGTTAGTTTTCTAGGTTCTAGTTATTTGTTTAAACACCAGCCTTTTTCCTTGAAATAGGGGCATCTTAGTGTGAAGTAAAGATAAATATTACTGTACTTTTGACTTTTAAAAAAAGTTTGAAAAATACTATTCTGATAAAAGTCATAAATTGCAGGCTTATAATGAGAGGGGAGACCCCCTTGCCTTCTTCCACTTCCTGGTCTCCACCTCCTCCCTCCCCTACCCTCCGGATATGAAGCAGGGTGAAAATGAAATAAAATACCAAAGAGCTTGAATCTGTGGTCAGGCAACTTGCTGATGCCACTGACCTGGCCATAAAGAGGCCCACGGCCTGGGAAGATGACTTCCTTTTTGGTTCCCAGCATCTCTGCTATCTATAAGCCTTGAAAGAGTTGCAAATGATGTTATCACTACTGGCTGGAGCCCAGCACTGAGTCATGTCCCCCAAGTTTGCACAACGCAGGCTCCGTCCTGGAAATACCTCTGCCAACTAATAATTAATTTACTGCCTTTGTCTTGTCTGTAAGTCCCCTCCCCTGCCTGCTCCCACTCGCACTGCATATGAACCAGCACATCAATGAAGCCAAAAGATTGTAAGGTCAGATGTCCAGCCAATGGACAATGACATCGTTTTGCCTCAGTTTCCCCTTTAGTGTTGTAAGCCTATAAAAGGGGAAAGAAGCTACTTCTCAGGGAGCTTGGTAAATAAGGCTTTAGCCCATGTAGCTCCCAGCCAAATAAAAAGCCATTTCCTTCCTCAGTCCGGTGTTCGAGAGGTTTGTTTCCCACTACTTCTGCTTTAATAACACTTAATGGTTATAAAAGGTCTTTCAATAATCATAAAATGAATTTTTAACAGACTGCTTGATCCAAGTTTGCTTCTCAGTTTGAAATTCTCTAATTTTTTTCTTCAAAAAAATTTTCATTTTATATTCTAAATGGAATGGTATCATTTTAGCCCATGTACATTTTTTTTTTTTTTTTTTTTGAGACGGAGTTTCGCTCTTGTTACCCAGGCTGGAGTGCAATGGCGCGATCTCGGCTCACCGCAACCTCCGCCTCCTGGGTTCAGGCAATTCTCCTGCCTCAGCCTCCTGAGTAGCTGGGATTACAGGCACGCGCCACCATGCCCAGCTAATTTTTTGTATTTTTAGTAGAGACGGGGTTTCACCGTGTTGACCAGGATGGTCTCGATCTCTTGACCTTGTGATCCACCCGCCTCGGCCTCCCAAAGTGCTGGGATTACAGGCTTGAGCCACCGCGCCCGGCCCACCCATGTACATTTTGATTGATCACTTCAGTTTGTAGTATTCCTGCTTGCTTACTGCATATTAAAATATTATAAAACTGAGGACACAAGTTCTAAATTGTATTTACACTTACCCATGCTCTCCATATTTACTGGTTCCATGTCTTCACTAGCTAGAATACAATAAAAGAAAGTCAAATTTTTGAATCAAACATATGTCAGTTTATTATAATCTTTACCAAACCTCAAAAAACAAAATGTAAGTACAAATATACAATAAGAACTTAAACTATCTTGTTAATAATTAAATAGAGAAAATTGGAATAATTGTCTTTTATACAGTTATCTCTTAGTGATACGTTTACTACGGCATTCATTATATGGCATTTCATTGATATCATAATGAAATTAGTCAAAAGTAAGAATAAATCTCTATCATATTCCTCATGCATTTGACTTTATGACACAAAAATTTTATTTCACTTGATATGTAAAACCATAATCATTTGGCTGCTAATATATGTACAAATACTAACTCTACACACAAAAAAACCCATTAAATGAAGAAATAATCCTACCAGCTAATATTGGTTTTGGGCTTTTTTTGCCACGTGATGACTTTTTCTTTTGTTTTTGTTTTGGAGCCATGGTTCTGACTTGGGCTGCAGAAAGAGATGATATTATTAGTAAATTATTGCAATTTGCAAATAACTTGAAATTTCAAATACTAAACATGATCATTTAATAAACTTAAGAATATATTTTCTAAGTTTTACCCTGGACTAAATCAACCTGTCTCTTCATAGAACAGGTGTTCTGTGACAAAGGTTTATTGCAACAACAATATTACCGATGAGATCTTACTGTTCTGGTGGAGCTATTCAGCTGAAGCACACTGTGGTGACCAGAACAAAGTATCAATGTGCATATGTATATGTGATTTTTAAATTAACATAATTGAGATCATACTTTTGTCTTAGCATGTAAACATGTAACAACTAAGGCCTTATTTGGGCTCTCAGAGAGAATGTCTCCAAAAGTTTTCCATGGAATTGCTAATCAATTTATATATATATATATATATATATATATATTTTTTTTTTTTTTCCCTATTTTATTGCACTTTAGGTTCTGGGGTACATGTGAAGAACATGCAGGACTGTTGCATAAATACATACATGGCAATGTGGTTTGCTGCCTCCATCCTCATCACCTATATCTGGCATTTCTCCCCATGTTATCCCTCCCCGACTCCCTACCCCCCACTGTCCCACCCCTAATTCCCCCTAACAGACCCCAGTGTGTGATGCTCCCCTCCCTGTGTCCATGTGTTCTCACTGTTCAACATCCACCTATGAGTGAGAACATGCAGTGTCTGATTTTCTGTTCTTGTCTCAGTTTGCTGAGAATGATGGTTTCCAGGTTCATCCATGTCCCTACAAAGGACACAAACTCATCATTTTTTATGGCTGCATAGTATTCCATGGTGTACATATGCTACATTTTCCCTGTCCAATCTATCATCGATGGGCATTTGGGTTGGTTCCAGGTCTTTGCTATTGTAAACAGTGCTGCAATGAACATATGTGTGCATATGTCTTTATAAAAGAATGATTTATAATTCTTTGGGTATATACCCAGTAATGGGATTGCTGGGTCAAATGGAATTTCTATTTCTAGGTCCTTGAATCACTGCACTGTCTTCCATAATCATTGAACTAATTTACATTCCCACCAACAGTGTAAAAGTGTTCCTATTTCTCCACATCCTCTCCAGGATCTCTTGTCTCCAGATTTTTTAATGATCGCCATTCTAACTGGCGTGAGATGGTATCTCAATGTGGTTTTGATTTGCATTTCTCTAATGACCAGTGATGATGAGCATTTTTTCATGTTTGTTGGCCTCATGTATATCTTCTTTTGTAAAGTGTCTGTTTATATCCTTCGCCCACTGTTGAATGGGGTTGTTTGTCTTCTTCTTGTAAATCTGTTTTAGTTCTTTGTAGATTCTGGATATAAGTCCTTTGTCAGATGGGTAGATTGCAAAAATTTTTTCCCATCCTGCTGGTTGCCAATTCACTAAATGATTGTTTCTTTTGCTGTGCAGAAGCTCTGGAGTTTAATTAGATCCCATTTGTCTATTTTGGCTTTTGTTGCCATTGCTTTTGGTATTTTAGTCATGAAGTCCTTGCCTATGCCTATGTCCTGAATGGTTTTGCCTAGGTTTTCTTCTAGGGCTCTTATGGTGTTAGGTCTTATGTTTAAGTCTTTAATCCATCTGGAGTTAATTTTAGTGTAAGGTGTCAGAAAGGGCTCCTGTTTCTACTTTCTGCACATGGCTAGCCAGTTTTCCCAACATCATTTATTAAACAGGGAATCTTTTGCCCTTTGCTTGTTTTTGTCAGGTTTGTCAAAGATCAGATGGTTGCAGATGTGTGGCATTGCCTCCAAGGCCTCTGTTCTGTTCCATTGGTCTATTTCTCTGTTTTGGTACCAGTACCATGCTGTTTTGATTACTGTAGCCTTGTAGTATAGTTTGAATTCAAGTAGCGTGATGCCTATAGCTTTGTTCTTTTTGCTTAGAATTGACTTGGCCATGCAGGCTCTGTTTTGGTTCCATATGAAGTTTAATGTGGTTTTTTCCAGTTCTGTGAAAAGGGTCATAGGTAGCTTAACGGGGATAGCATTGAATCTATAAATTACTTTGGGCAGTATGGCCATTTTCACAATATTGATTCTTCCTAAACATGAGCATGGAATGTTTCTCCATCTGTTTGTGTCCTCTCTTATTTCCTTGAGCAGTGGTTTGTCATTATCCTTGAAGAGTTCCTTTACATCCTTTGTTAGTTGTATTCCTAGGTATTTTATTCTCTTTGGAGCAATTGTGAATGGCAGTTCGTTCTTTTTGGCTCTCTTTAAGTCTGTTATTGGTGTATAGGAATGCTTGTAATTTTTACACATTTTGAATGGGCTTGTTTTTTCTTGTAAATCTGTTTTAGTTCTTTGTAGATTCTGGATATTAGCCCTTTGTCAGATGGGTAGATTGCAAAAAATTTTTCCCATTCTGTTGGTTGCCGATTCACTCTAATGACTGTTTCTTTTGCTGTGCAGAAGCTATGGAGTTTGATTAGGACCCATTTGTCTATTTTGGCTTTTGTTGCCAGTGCTTTTGATGTTTTGGTCATGAAGTCCTTGCCTATGCCTATGTCCTGAATGGTTTTGCCTATATTTTCTTCTAGGGTTTTTATGGATATCCTTGTTAATTTTCTGTCTTGTTGATCTGTCTAATATTGACAGTGGAGTGTTAAAGTCTCCTATTATTATTGTGTGGGAGTCTAAGTCTCTTTGTAAGTCATTAAGAACTTGCTTTGTGTATCTGGGTGCTCCTGTATTGGGTGCATATATATTTAGGATAGTTAGTTCTTCCTGTTGCATTGATCCTTTTACCATTATGTAATGTCCCTCTTTGTCTCTTATGATCCTTGTTGGTTTAAAGTCTGTTTTATCAGAGACTAGGATTGCAACTCCTGCTATTTTTTGCTCTCCATTTGCTTGGTAAATCTTCCTCCATCCCTTTATTTTGAGCCTTTGTGTATCCTTGCATGTGAGATGGGTTTCCTGGATACAGCACACCCATGGGTTTTGACTTTTTATCCAATTTGCCAGTCTGTGTCTTTTGATTGGGGCATTTAGCCCATTTACACTTAAGGTTATTATTGTTATGTGTGAATTTGATCCTGCCATTTTGATGCTAGCTGGATGTTTTGCCCATTATTGACACAGTTTCTTCATTGTGTTGATGCTCTTTACCACTTGGTACAGTTTTGGAGTGGCTGGTACTGGTTGTTCCTTTCTATGTTTAGTGCCTCTTTCAGGGGCTCTAGTAAAGCAGGCCTGGTGGTAATGAAGTCACTAAGTAATTGCTTCTTCATAAAGGATTTTATTTCTCCTTTGCTTATGAAGTTTAGTTTGGCTGAATATGAAATTCTAGGTTGAACGTTCTTTTCTTTAAGGATGTGAATATTGGCCCCCACCCTCTTCTGGCTTGTTGGGTTTCTGCTGAGAGATCCACTGTGAGTCTGATGGGCTTCCTTTTGTGGGTAACCTGACCTTTCTCTCTGGCTGCCCTTAGCATTTTTTCCTTCATTTTAACCCTGGTGGATCTGGCGATTATGAGCCTTGGGGTTGCTCTTCTTGAGGAATATCTTTGTGGTGTTCTCTGTATTTCCTGGACTTGAATATTGGCCTGCCTTGCTAGGTTGGGGAATTTCTCCTGGATAATATCCTGGAGAGTGTTTTCCAGCTTGATTCATTCTCTCCGTCACATTCAGGTACACCTATCAAACATAGATTAGGTCTTTTCACATAATCCCACATTTCTTGGAGGCTTTGTTCATTTCTTTTTACTTTTTCCTTCTTGTTTTATTTCATTGAGTTGATCTTCAATCTCTGATATCCTTTCTTCTGCTTGGTTGATTTGGCTATTGAAACTTGTGTCTGCTTTGTGAAGTTCTTGTGTTGTTTTTCAGCTCTATCAGTTCATTTATATTCTTCTCTAAGCTGTTTATTCTCATTAGCATTTTGTCAAACCTTTTTTCAAGGTTCTTAGTTTTTGTTTTGCATTGGGTTAGATGATCATCAATTTTGACAGGATAGAACACTGGCTAAGGTCATCACCATGACATCAAATCCTTGTCATCTCTTCCATGCTCACCTTTGTCCTGTTCTATTTAAATGGTTAGGAATGTGACTACAGGAGTCTGGGCAGCAGAGTTTTTAAAGAGGCTGTTCTTTTTCCAGCTGAGTGACCTTGGGCAAATTACTTACCTTCTCTAAGTTCAGTTTATTCATCTATTTAATGGGGATAATAATAAAATCTACCCCACAAGGTGACTGTGAAGACTTAATGAAATAAAGTGTCATCATCATCAACTCAGTCATCTCAGTCTGGTTTGCACCATTTTAACAAATCAATAGAGACTACTATTTCATAGCCTATGGTCAAAATATCACAAGTTTTATTTTATATCTAGATGCTCGATTACAAAATCTTATCCAAAGTGTGGATGTGAGTGTGTCTGTGTTTGTGTGTAAACATCTTCCCTTCAGATTTTCTCATATGTATTTTTTTTTCAAATAATAAAAATGATAGCTCACATTTGTGAAGTGCTTACTATGTGCCAGGCACAGTTCCAAGTATTTTACATGTATTTTTATTTAGTCTTAATCACATTTATTGACATATAAATGACTTGAATTGTCCATCATCTGAAACATTTTTCTTTGTGTTGGGAACATTACAATTCTAGTGATTGTGAAATATGCAATGAATTATTATTAACTATAATTTTCCTGCTATACTATTGAATACTAGATAACCACATTTTATTATTACTATTATTTTTATCCTCCTTTTATAATGAGAAAATGAGGCCCCAAGAGGTTCAGGTGACTCTCCTGAAGGGACACAGAGAGCAATGGGCAGTGGTGTCAGGCTGTGAGCCCAAGCAGCCTGGCTCTGATAGACATATTCTTAATCTCTGTACTAGATGATCCCTTGGATTTCAATGATAACTGCTGTGTTTCATTACAAATGAAACTATTTTAAATCATTGTCTTTACCTTGAAAGGCAGGATTTGATTATATAAGCAATATTTTATG